AAATAGAACTAGAATTTAGGGAGGTTACACAACGGATGCGGCAGGCCAGCATCCAATTCAAGACTTTTGATCTAAAGCAGGACAGGCCTATCAAAATTGTTATCAGAGGCCTCCCTAAAGAAACTGAAATCGACAACGTCAAAAATGAAGTGGAATCATGGGGTTTCCAAGTGCATAGGTGCGCCCGGTTGACTAAACCGCGCACTAGACACCCTATGCCACTTGTTTACATACAAGTCCGACCTCATCCCTTCATAGACCAACTGTACAGTGTCACCGATATGTAGGGCGCTGAGGTCAAATTTGAGGCTTACAGAGGCCGTAAAGGCCCTACTCAATGCTTTAGGTGCCAAGGATTTTTTCATTCCTCTGAAACTTGCACCCTTAACATCCGTTGTGTGAGATGCGCTGGCCCGCACTGGGCAAAAGATTGCACATTAAGTGACGATCAACCTGCTTGCTGCTGCAACTGTGGAGGTAGTCACCCAGCGTCCTTTAAATCTTGTCCTCGTTACCCAGGTAATAACAAAAAGGAGCTCAAAAAAGAATGCTCCTAGGGCAGCTGCTCCTGCAGCCCCCCCCCCAAGGGAACTACAAACACCCCAGCAAAAGCTGTACAACCAGCCACTGTGACTGCACCTAAAAGTACAAGCTCGATGTCTTATGCAGCGACCCTAGGTAAAGGACCTACAGAGCCCCGACCCAAAAATCAGGGTTTAAATCCGGCAGCTATGGCGAATGTGCCTCAAATAGCTCCCCCGTTTACTCTCCCCCGTAGTAGAAAGTGGAGACTCCGAGGATGTTTTCTCTACTTTAAAATGCCGAATTGAAATCTCTCGCGATCCTGCGGTAGATAGGCATATTCTACTACAAGCCTTCCAAAGGGCCCTGCCAAAGCTTAGGCAGGCAGACGCTCTTACGAGGGCCTTCCTAACTTATGAAAGCTATATTATGCTTTCAAATTAGGATTTCTCGGCTATTTTAGACCCGTGTCTTAAGTTTTTCAGAGCTGTAACCTTTTACCACGGCCTTAAATTCAACTGTTTAAGACAAAGTTCAATTACCAACAGAGAACTTACCATGTGCACATGGAATGCAAACGGCCTCATCAATAAGATCGATGAGGTCAAAGATTTTATTGTAGTGCACGATCTTGACGTGTTATTAGTCCAAGAGACTCATCTTACCCCAGGGAGAACTCCCAAAATTGGGAATTTATGACATGTACTCGACTGACAGGGTGTCATTAGCCAGGCGTGCAAGTGGTGGCACCTGTATCTACGTGAAGCGTTCGATTAAGCATCACATGATACCCCCTCCTGATTTAAGTATTTTGGAAGCGACAATTATCAAAATTTTCCCCCACTAACAGTCATCTCGGCGTACCTGCCTCCACTATCAACTGCACGTGGAAGAGGAACTTTTCCTGTCAGTGATTTGGATAAACTTTTATCATTATCAAATCACCTAATTATTGCTGGTGACCTAAATTCACGTCATACCGCATGGTTTTGCCCTAACAGGAACAGGTATGGCATTAGTCTAAATTCATGGTGCCAGAAAAACCATATACAGATCATAGCTCCTACCCTCCCGACTTAGTACCCTGTTAGAGGGTCCCCTGCAGTTCTTGATCTGGCTGCCTTTTATAATGTCAATTTTAGACACGAAATAAAAGTGATTCAAGACCTTGACTCTGATCAGTATTCAGGTTTGATCACCCTTGAATCCAAAACCGTTACTCAAAATTACAGGAGCAAGTCTCTACAAATTGGGACGATTTTAGATTTATTTTGGAACGTACTGCTACTACTACCCCTATCAAAATTACCAGCAATTCGGATTTTGACAGGTGTTTACTAAATTTGGAGTCCATTCTCAAAGAAGCGAGAGCTGCGGCTTCAAAACCAATTTTCTATCCGGGTGTCAGACTCCCACCTGAGACTAAATCCAAAATTAAGCAGCGGAACTTTTTGCGAAAACTTTGGCAAAGGTCGCGTGATCCCAGTATCCGCGCCCAATTTCGCAAAATACAGAACGAGATAAGGACTGAAACCCGTCTCTTCAAACAGACGGAGTGGAAACACTACATTGAGTCCCTAACGACTGAAGACAATTCGATTTGGCGGGCTGCCGCTCGAATACGCAAACAATCCAGACACATTCCGCCCTTCAAACGGCCGATGACGCACGGATGGCTTACACAGACACTGAAAAGGCAGAAGTCTTAGCCGACAGCCTTGCTACTCAATTCACTCCTAATAACGACGCCTACTGTAACCGCCCGGTTACTCAAGGGCGCATACATTCACGTGTTGAAGAGTTTTTAACACAACCTTTCACGCCTGAACTTAGGCCCACTGATCCTAAAGAGGTGATGGAATACATCAATAGACTGAAACCCAACAAGGCTCCAGGCATGGATTCTATCTCTAATCGCATGATTAAAAATTTCCCTGTAATGTTTATTGTTTGGATTACGGTCCTTATTAATTTTATGCTAAGGAGAAGCTACTTCCCCGACCGCTGGAAAATTGCAACGGTCTTCCCCATTCCAAAACCGGTGCAAAATCTAAACTTACCCGTCAACTACAGACCAATTAGTCTGCTTTCCTCACTCTCAAAAGTATATGAATATGTCTTACTTAATCGCCTGAATGAATTCTGTCTAGATCAAAACTTAATCATCCCGGAACAATTCGGCTTCCGACCTAAACACTCCACGGTACACCAGTTACTACTTGTAGGGAAATTTCTTCATGAAGGCTTTCGTAAGTGAGAGAATACTGGAATTGTCTATCTTGACATAGCTAAAGCCTTGACTTTGACAGGGTTTGGCATGACGGACTTATTTACAAGCTCATGCGACTTGGGTTTCCGGCTCACATCATTAAAATTATTAGCTCGTACTTAGCCGGACGAAGCTTCCGCGTACGAGTTAACCACGAACTCTCCTCTCCCCTGCCCGATCCATGCTGGATGTCCTCAGGGCAGTCTTGTCTCACCTCTGCTCTTCAATATCTATATCAACGACGTGCCTAAGGCACCCTAGTATCGATTTAGCTTTATATGCAGACGATACGGCCATCCTAACTCAACATACCAACATCACCACGGTAATCTCTACATTACAGAGTTACCTTTCAGCCTTAGAACTCTGGCTCGGACTGTATAAAATCAAAATTAATGTCGCTAAATATTCTGCCACTTTATTCATCCGAAGAAACATCCCACGTTTAAATAATCTAATTTTCTTCGGTGAACCTATTCCCTGGGTTACTGCTTACAAATACCTTGGTGTTATGCTAGACTCAAAATTAACCTGGCAACCTCATATTCAAAAAGTTGTTACGAATGGGAAGGCTGACAAAGCCAACCCACGCCCCTTTTTTGCTAAAAATAGCAACAAACTGTCACTTGATAACAAGATCTTGCTTTATAAATCTATCATAAGGCCTATTCTCACTTACGCCATCTGGAGCTCAGCTGCTCTGACTAACCGTAAACACGTCCAAATTTTTCAATCAAAACTTTTACGGCAGATATTAAACGCTCCATGGTTCATAAGGAATGATGACATTCATAATGACCTAAAAATTATGCCCATTAATCGCTTTATACAGCGACTTTCGAAAAGATTTTTGAAAAAATCCATCTTATTGGAAATCCAGTATTACATACCCTGCCAGTATATGATCCTGCAGTTGCCTCTTCTAAAAAGCAACCCAGAGCAATCTTACAACCTGATTATGCTCAACTACCTTTTACAAACGCCCAAGTGGATGCTTACCTCTCGTTCCTAAACCCCAACCGCCCCCGTGTTAACAATGCGTAAGGGCATTGACCGGAGGAACCCTGTTCTTTAACTCTTTAAGAAGAGTCTTCTTACGTCTCTTTAAGAAGGGACAACTTATCTCCGCAGCCGCACGCACCTGCATTTAATTTCTCAATAGCTTCTTAAAAGCTTCTTTTCTACCCGCTAAACGAGTTGCTTTCGACTCCCTAAGGGGCACTTGTACCTGGCCTTTAAACTTTGCACTAAGTAGCGACCAAAATTTCCTTTTTCTCCATCAGCTGTATCACTCTGAACTGCTACTAGAATCTGCCCAACGGGTTCTCCCCCCCAGCCCTTTTTGCCCAACTCTCCGGACTGCTTGTCCTAAGGATTTCGTTTTACTGTTAATATCAAGAATCAAGGAAATGTATTGCACCTTTTTATTCTTTTCAAAAAAATTTTTTTGAATGTTGACTCCTCTCTCAAAATTTAATCCTGGCCCTTTTTAAGACACGAAATTTAATTTAAAGACTTTCTTGAGTTTTACCTTTTTCTCATGTGGAAGGCATTATCTGAAAAGCCTTTATTTTTATAATTAGGCTTCAAAATATTCCCGTATTAGATGAACCCCTCTTTTGATGTAATTATTTTATCTCTGATGTTGTGGAGTTGAAGGCCTAGCCTAGCGCACTCCGTAAATTAACTTCCTTGATCCTTGATCAAAATGCATTAGGACAGATGTCGAATGTCGAAATAGTTGCAGCAAGGGATTTGAATATTTCGAGTGAAAATTGCTATGAAGAATAGTAGCAATGCTTGATATGGATGCATTTAATCACAAGGCATGCATTTTTTAGAAGAAAAAATAATTGCTTGAATATTCAGTTAATTTTTTTGTTAAGTTCTCATTACTTTTAAGTAAGAAATATTGTATATTAATTATTTCCAAAGTATCGGAGTTCTAAGCTAGCGCATGTGTAGCTATAAGTTATATATTTGTGCTTCCTTTATTATGCTGAAGCAAAAGTAATTCTTTGTAATTTTTAATAAGAATATGGTTTGTGTTTTACCATTGCAAATTTTGATAGTTTGTTCTTGCAAATTTTTCAGTAACTTAAATTGCTTTATGATCTTCTGCAGCATAAAAGTTCTGAGCAAATTCATGTATTTGAATGCATACTGTTTCTCTTTGTTTTTATTGACTTTCTGTCCTCTCTTCAGGTATGCACTCATTGTCTTGCACCATCATTGGGGAAACCTGGCAGTACTGACAATATGACTATAATCATTGTGCAGTTGAATGAACCTGATCTAAAAAATGCCCCAGCTCTTAATGAGGTGAGAATACCTGCAGCTCCTACAAAGACTGAATCATCAGCTGCAAGTCCTTCTGAAGCTGAATCATTAACCACACCTCCTGAGGCTGAATCCTCAGCTGCAGTGCATGTTGAATCATTACTTGAATCATTACTTTCAAGAGCAGCTGCTATTGCAGTAGAATTATCTGAAGCTTTTGCTGATGAAGAATCAGATGAAGAATCAGATGTGGACTCACCTGCAGCTCTTGCTGAGATGGAAACATCACCTGCAGATTCTGCTAAGTTGGAAATATCAGCTGTATATCCTGCTGAGTCCAAAACACAAGTTACAGCTCCTGTTGAGATGGACACATCAACTGCACCTCCAGCAGAGATGGAATCACCAGCTATAGCTCCTACTGAGATAGAAATGCAACCTGCAGCGCCTGCCAAGGAGGAAACACAAGCTGCTACCCTTGTTGAGAGGGAAATATCAGCTGCAGCTCCTGCCGAGATAGAAATAACAATTACGGCTCCTGCTGAGGTCAAGACATCAACTGAAGCTCCTGCTAAATCGGAACCGTCAGCTGCAGATCCTTTCAAGATGGAAATAGATGCAGGTCCTGTAGAGATAGAAGTATCAGGTGCAGCTATCGAGATGCAAACACCAACTGCTGTAGCTCCTGCTGGGTCCAAAACATCATCTGCAACTCCTGCTGAGCTGGAAACAGCAACTGCAGCTCCTGCCAAGCTAGAAGATTCAACTGCAGCTTCTGCCGAGCTGGGAGCATCAACTGCGCCTTCTGCCGAGCTGGAAGCGTCAACTGCACCTTCTGCCGAGCTGGAAGCTTCAACTCCACCTTCTGACGAGCTGGAAGCGTCAACTCCACCTTCTGACGAGCTGGAAGCGTCAACTGCACCTTCTGCCGAGCTGGAAGCTTCAACTCCACCTTCTGACGAGCTGGAAGCGTCAACTGCACCTTCTGCCGAGCTGGAAGCGTCAGCTGCACCTTCTGCCGAGCTGGAAGCGTCAACTGCACCTTCTGCCGAACTGGAAGCGTCAACTACACCTTCTGCCGAGCTGGAAGCGTCAACTGCACCTTCTGCCGAGCTGGAAGCTTCAACTCCACCTTCTGACGAGCTGGAAGCGTCAACTGCACCTTCTGCCGAGCTGGAAGCGTCAGCTGCACCTTCTGCCGAGCTGGAAGCTTCAACTCCACCTTCTGACGAGCTGGAAGCGTCAACTGCACATTCTGCCGAGCTGGAAGCTTCAACTCCACCTTCTGACGAGCTGGAAGCGTCAACTGCACCTTCTGCCGAGCTGGAAGCGTCAGCTGCAACTTCTGACGAGCTGGAAGCGTCAACTGCACCTTCTGCCGAGCTGGAAGCGTCAACTGCACCTTCTGCCGAGCTGGAAGCGTTAGCTGCACCTTCTGCCGAGCTGGAAGCGTCAACTGCACCTTCTGCCGAACTGGAAGCGTCAGCTGCACCTTCTGCCGAACTGGAAGCGTCAACTGCACCTTCTGCCGAACTGGAAGCGTCAACTACACCTTCTGCCGAGCTGGAAGCGTCAACTGCACCTTCTGCCGAAGTGGAAGCGTCAACTGCACCTTTTGCCGAAGTGGAAGCGTCAACTGCACCTTCTGCTGAGCCGGAAACTTCAACTGCAGCTCCTGCTGAGGTGGAAGCAGCAACTGCAGCTCTTATCGAGCTGCAAGCATTCGCTACATCATCTGCAACTCCTGCCGAGGTTGAAACATCAGATACATCATCTGCAACTCGTTCCGAAATGGAAACATCCAATACATCATCAGCAGATCATTCCGAAATGGAAACATCATCTACAGCTGCTCCTGAGATAGAAACTTCAGCTCCTGCCAAGATCGAAACATCAGCTACAGCTACTGCCGAGATCGAACCATCAGCTGCAGCTCCTGTCGAGATTGAAACATCAGCTGCAGCTCCTCTCGAGATTAAAACATCAGCTGCAGCACCTGTCAAGATGGAAACATCAGCTAGATTAACTGCAGCTCCTGCCAATATGAAAGCATCAGCTATGTCACCTTCAGCTTCTACTGAGATCGAAATATCAGCTACATCATCTGCAGCTTCTGCCAAAGAGGAAACATCATCTCCAGCTGCTGCCAAGATTGAAACATCAGCTACATCATCTCCAACTGCAGCTGAGATTGAAACATCAGCTACATCATTTGAAGCTCCTTCCGAGATGGAAATATCATCTGCAGATGCTGCTGAGATTGAAGCACCAGCTACATCATCTCCAACTGCAGCTGAGATTGAAACATCAGCTACATCATTTGAAGCTCCTTCCGAGATGGAAATATCATCTGCAGATGCTGCTGAGATTGAAGCACCAGCTACATCATCTGAAGCTGCCGTTGAGATGGAAACATCAGCTACACCCTCTGAAGGTCCCGTCCAGATGAAAACATCAGCTACACTATCTGAAGCTCCGGTCCAGATGGAGACATCAGCTACACCGTCTGAAGCTCCCGTCGAGATGGAAATGTCAGATACACCGTCTGAAGGTCCCGTCGAAATGGAAACATCAGATACACTGTCTGAAGCTCCCGTCGAAATGGAAACACCAGCTACACCATCTGAAGCTCCCGTCGAGATGGAAATATCAGCTACACCATCTGAAGCTCGTGTCGAAATGGAAACATCAGCTACATCATCTGAAGCTCCTGTCGAGATAGAAACATCAGCTACATCATCTGAAGCTCCCGTCGAGATGGACACATCAGCTGTTGAGATGGTCACTTCAGCTACATCATCTCCAGCTGCTGCCGAGATTGAAACATCAGCTACATTATCTGCAATTCCTATTGACATGGAAACATCAGCTACATCATTTGAAGCTCCTTCTGAGGTGGAAGCATCAGCTACACCATCTACAGCTTCTGCCGAGATAGAAGCATCAGCTGCAGCTCCTGTCGAGATGGTTACTTCAGCTACATCATCTACAGCTGCTGCCGAGATTGAAACATCAGCTACATTATCTGCAATTCCTATTGAGATGGAAACAGCTACATCATTTGAAGCTCCTTCTGAGGTGGAAGCATCAGCTACACCATCTACAGCTTCTGCCGAGATAGAAGCATCAGCTGCAGCTCCTGTCGAGATGGTTACTTCAGCTACATCATCTCCAGCTGCTGCCGAGATTGAAACATCAGCTACATTATCTGCAATTACAATTGAGATGGAAACATCAGCTACGTCATTTGAAGCTCCTTCTGAGGTGGAAGCATCAGCTACACCATCTACAGCTTCTGCCGAGATAGAAGCATCAGCTACACCATCTACAGCTTCTGCCGAGATAGAAGCATCAGCTACACCATCTACAGCTTGTGCCGAGATAGAAGCATCAGCTGCAACTCCTGTCGAGATGGTTATTTCAGCTACATCATCTCCAGCTGCTGCCGAGATTGAAACATCAGCTACATTATCTGCAATTCCTATTGAGATGGAAAAATCAGCTACATCATTTGAAGTTCCTTCTGAGGTGGAAGCATCAGCTACACCATCTACAGCTTCTGCCGAGATAGAAGCATCAGCTGCAGTTCCTGTCGAGATAGTTACTTCAGTTACATCATCTCCAGCTGCTGCCGAGATTGAAACATCAGCTACATCTTCAGCTCCTGTCGAGATGGAAATATCAGCTGCAACTGCTGCTGAGCTGAAAACACCAGCTGAAGCATCTGCCGAGCAGGAAACATTAGGTGCAGTTCATGCCGAGCTGGAAACATCAGCTGCATCTCCTGCCAAAATGGAAGCATCAGCTGCATCTCCTGCCGAAATGGAAGCATCAGCTGCATCTCCTGCCAAAACAAATACATCAGCTGTGCCTCCTGCAGAGACTGTAACATCACCCGCAGCTCCTTCTGAGACAGAAACATCACCTGCAGCTCCTTCTGAGACAGAAACATCAACTGCAGCTCTTGCCGAGATGAAAATTTCAGCTGCAGCACCTGTTGAGGTAGAAACATTGGCTACATTATGTGTAGTTTCTGCGGAGATTGAAACAGTTGCAGCTTCTGTTGAGATAGAAACATCACCATCACCTGCAGATCTTGCTGAGATAGAAATGTCACCTGCAACTGCTGATGGCATGGAAACATCAGCTACATCATCTAAAGCTCCTGCTACAATGGAAACAGCTGCGTCAGCTTCTGCCGAGTCAGAAACTTTAGCTACATCATCAACTCCTTCTGAAATGGAAACATTAGCTGCAGTTCCTGATGAGCTGAAAGTATCAGCTGTAGTTCCTGCTGAGCAAGAAACATCACCTTCACCTACTGATGAGCAGGAAACATCAGCTGCAGCTCCAGCTGAGCCAGAAACATCAGCTGCAGGTCCTGCAGATATGAACTCAGCTAAAATTGGGGAGGAATCAGTAGCAGGTCATGATTAAACTCATGCTAGTATACCTGCATTAAGACAATTCTTACTTGATGCAGTTTGAGCCTGGGTTAGGAAAAGAACTCAGTTTTTGGTGCTACAATATTGCAAAAAAAAAAAAAAAAAAGATTCATATCTGAGACCCCAAGATGGAGGTTAAAAACTGTCTTTGAAAGTACTTGGTCAGTGACTAAATTTGTGCTCAGCTCTATAAGCAACATTTTTTGTAGAAATTATTAAAAAGAAGACTGAAAAACTTTAAACTAGAAGTATTGCGAGATTGCGTTAAAAAAAATCTTTAATTAAAGCTGAAAAGATTTGTGTGCTTAGAAGATGCTATATGCCCTGCATCTCTTATTGTGCTGAAAATGTCTTATATCAGTAAGTGGTATTCATAAATTTGGGCAAGATGCTGATAAATTTTGCATCTAGTCTCTGATTTTACATTATCAAGCGTTCAAAATGTACAGCCTGTGGATAATGTTAAACCTCATGACACTAATAACTTGATGTTTTTTAACTACATGATTTTTTGCCATATGAAGAATTAGAATTTCTTAATGTGATCCAAAAAGATAATAAAAAGTTTTATAATCTTTTCTAATCTACATTAAACTAAATCTAATAACTTCTTAAGGGTTCTTTCAAAGCTTGTATGTATGCATTTGTCAGGAAACCTGTAAAATCAGAACAAATTTAAAACTGAGACTCAGAAAGTTAGATTAATGTGCAGGGTAGATGCAAATGGAGGTGGTGACTTAAGAGTTTTAATTTAAACATTCCAAATGAAGTTTAGGATATTTCATATTGTTTTCATTGAGTTTTCTATACAGGGTGTTTATAAATGTATGATGTGGCTTTAAAAATTAATAATAAATCTATGTAATTTATTATATTATTAATTATTTAATTGATGTAATATAATTTTATAATAATATTACCTTACCAATGTAAAACCTATACCGTAAACTTAGTGCCACTGCTTATTTTGTTAGGTGTGCCCATCTAAAGTAATACATCAATTTATTATTAATTTTTAAAACCCCAACATTCATTTATAAACTCCCTGTACTTTGTGAACTGAATTTGACTGTTATATGTTTTTTAAAGAAAACTGAAATTCTTCAAAACTTTTGCTTGCTGTGTTTCTTTAGAATGTTTTAAATGTTTCTTTAGAAGAAATGGCACTTTCATGAAAAGAAAATTTTAATTTTTTTAAAAAAAATTTGAAGTGTGCTTATTGCCTCAGTTTTCTATGAGCAGTTAGTTTCGTTAACAAAATTTTTAATTTTATGATACTTTAAGAGAATTTAACATCTGAGAAACCTTGATAAGAATGTCATGTGAATTTCTAAAATCAACAATAGGAACTTAAAATGTTTGCCGAAAATTTTCATATTCTAGTCTCATAAACCTTTGAGTTTTTTATTTCATGTAATCTTTAATTTTTTTTTTCATCGTATATAGTGTGTAGCATAGATTCCTTTTTTAAATCTAATCATGTTTTGCATGATTAATAAAGTAAATTCATTTTTCAGTTTTTTCTAATATGAAATAACAGTAAGCCGTAATTTCTTTTTGAAAGGAATGCCATGTATATTAAATTTTTGTGCATTTTATTCCGCATTTATTTTGGAAGTGTTATGTGTAATTTCTGCAGTATATTTGTTAGTCTTGTCTTGTACTTAAAGGTATTAAAAGTTTTATATTTTGTCATAAATCGTATAAAGGAAATTATAGTGGTATCTATAATCCAAAAAAATCTGAATTTTTATTTTAATTACCTCTTGCAAACTGTTGAACTACTGCCCCATGGATGAAGATTAAAAAAAGGGGTAATGGAAATTAATAACACTGTAATTTAACGGAAAAATTTGGGAGGAAGGAAGTAGCTTGTGCAGAATAAAAATCAACTCACATTCTCCCTTAAATAAGTTTTATAACTTTTTGAAATTTTTAATGATTTTGTAGCAGTTTATTTACTTCACTCAAAAGCAATTTTTGATGGGCATAATTCATTGGTAAATGAATTTCGGTCAAAAATATTGAAACTTAACTCATCAGAAATGTGACAAAATTATTCTTGCATGCAATATTTCAAGAGTTTGTTTACATTATAAAGTATGTATTTACTTCTCAGAAATGAAGAAAATAGTTAAAAAATTGCAGACTTGTTTTCACGTCTGCTGTTTTGATACTTTTATGCGTCACATCTGTTTAATAAATTTTTCTCTGTGTACTTCCTGAACTTATATGAAATACTCATATTACTTCATAATAAGTTATAATTTTAATGAATTCAGATGAAATTTCATTATTTTTTTACTTAAAACAATCTTTTTAAATGCTACCTTTTTATTTTATGACTTAAGACTTTTTGGAGTGATAAAATGAATGTGTACTCTGCGTATTATTCCTTATTAAAAGTATTTTTTATCATTTATCCATAAGTGATTTCTTTCTTATCAGCTTCACTGTTTTCATATTGTATTATTATGTATCTTCTAAGTGGTGATTAATTTTTTAAATAAAATTGAAGTTATATTTCGTGTATCATTATTTTTGTCTTAAAATAATCCTTTTAAATGCTACCTCTATACTTCATGAATTAAGACTTTTTGGAGAGAGAAAATGAATGTGTAACCTTTGTAATGTTTCTTATTCGAAGTATTTTTGTCATCTATCCATACATGATTTCTTTGTTATAATCTCACTGTTTTCATATTGTATTATCATGTGTCTTCTTGTAAGTGGTGATTATTTTTTTTTAATAAAGTTTAAAAATGTTTTGTGTAGTTATTTCATGAAGTAGAAACTAATTTTGTAAAATACTCTGGATTCCGATAATTCTCTTAAGTTTTTATTTTTATGGAATAAAAAGTCTGTTATAGGAGAAATATGTGATAGGTGTATGTTTCCATGTGTATGTGAATAAAATGTGGTCTTCATGATATTAAAATAGTAGCACTTTGGTGTATGAATTGCAGATAAAATATCTCATGCTGCAGTGGGTTACATTTAAATTGTCAATCTAGCAGGAGAAGAAATAATTAGTTGTAATGCCTAGAATTTTTCTGAGTACATCTTCAGATAGAAGAATGACTATAATAGTGTTCTTGAAGCATTCTATTTCTTATGTATATATGTTTATTCAATTATGGCAAAATACATAAGGGATATCTGCTTAAATTTATATGAATATCAGAATTGTAGCAAACTCAGACTGGGTAGTAATTCAGCTTTTGAAAATTATTGATAGAGACGAATGTACATAAAAGTAGTGGCATTGAAATTTACAGAAACATGGATAAATGCACTACTTTAGAGTTAAATTTCATTTGTTGCTAAAACATGAATAGCATAAATTTTTTTAATTCATTAACCCTTAATTTAACATTTTATTGCAAAAGCTTGTCAACCCACTTCATTTGGTCTTCCCATAAATATTAGCCATACAATTAACTCATCTGTATGTAAATTAGTTGTGGTCTGCATATGACTGGAAAGAGTTAAATAAGAGCAATGCTTTTGTTAATCAAAAAGTAGTGAAAGGTATACAAATTGATGTGATAGCTACTTTTTTTATCAAAAATGTAATTTATCTGCATGATGTGTTCAGTGACAGAATGTATCTCAAGCACTTTATTGAGCTATTCTTTGTGGTTGCAAAACCAAAAAACCCAGCCAGGATGGATGTTGGCTTTTATGTAGTCTTGCGATCAAGAATCACATGTAGTAGTATCTAAGGAGTGAGTTAGCTAAACAGTTTGAAATGATGACTGGACTTCCTTTCTGCATTATTGTAAAAAAGGTACTGTTGATGTGGTAGTACTACCAAAAACTGCAAAAGAAAAGACTGATTCCTTGAAGGCAGTTCATGCGAAATGAAATTAACATGTTCACTATACGAAGCTTAAATTATGACTATACAAAAAAAGCATAACTTTCATAAAGCACTCCACGCTTTCCGGTATCTGTGTTCCTTAATAATCAAAGTGCTTCAAATATTCTAACATGATATGTAGAAATTTTTGAAAGCAGAATGAGTACCTTCCCGTTAAGTTCTCAATTGCCGGAAATTAAAAAGTGGAGCTTTCTTCAATGCAAGTAAACACGATTAGTATTCTTTCGTATTCCTTTCAATAAGTTTCGTCAAAAATGTGGCAAAAAGACGAGACTTTTCTTCCGGATCTTCAGACAGTTTCATTCGTTGGGAATGACCGAATCGATTCATCACTAAGTCATCTCAATCATTGAAAGGGGCGGCCGGTACAATACCCGCGAAGAGTCGGAAGGGCAGAACTTATACAACCCAAGCTTTATGCGGAAGTCAAATCTACTTTCTTGTTTTCGGCTTGGTAATTTTGCACTAAGCACTGTGATCCATGATTTATTGATCGCAGATGCCTCCCCTCTTTTGTTTTTTCATGAAAAACTTATATAAAATAATATAGGTTATTAATAAGCAGTCGTTTGCTTAAGTAATTGGCGCGTTTTCCTTCTGTCTATTTCGTTCTTGAATCTCTTACGCTCGGCCGTATTGTACGTACCTGTTGATAATCGCCGGCTTGTTTATGTTAAGGACCAACTACGTTAGATATATGTGTCTAGCTTCGCCTAAGTCTACTTTAGATAGTTTAGTTTCTTATTCTGATTTAAAACCCCGAGTGAGGCTTTCCTGTAGGCCAACTGTTATAATTTGTTTGAGTGAATGGAAGGGTATTTTAACCCTTCTTGATTCTACGTTGTATACTTGAACTCAGCGATGAGTCGCTACGTAGTTTATTAGGTTCCTTGACATTTCATCATAAAGTAGCGAGGAACATTATAATTAAAATATTTATAAATTACTTTTAAATTAATTACAATGTATACCGTTACAATATAGAAAGAAAGAAGAAAAAACTGTGTAAGCATATGTAGTGTAGCGTAAGCGAGCTTCTAAGATGGAAAATAATCCGACCAGTGGTCTTTTTAACATTTATATTAAAACTTAAACAAAGATTTCTTGGTTAAATAATAAGTAAAAACATCCGCACAGTTACAGAAAGGAAAGACTCAGCTTTCGCGGGTCGCGACTTACCACTAGGCATTTCTCAGACAAAAGCCCTTTCTATACCTTTTTCGTTTGCGTCGTAAGTCGTTTCGTGCGTAAACCGCACGATGGTGGTGTCCTTAACGAGTTTTTTCCTTAATCACTTTCCGGCCATATCGGCGGACACTCGGGACATATTCCCTTGAGAAGAGGAAGTTCTCTAATATAAACCAGATGTTTCATCAAAACTCAGGATTGTTACAGTGGATTCACCAAACTCTTTCAAATTCTTAGGGTCCATAACGTCTTTTAATCTGGCTTTGGGCCAAGCACCTACAGAATAGACAGCCGAATGCTTTTCAGTTGTTCATAGATTTTCAAAATTAAGCCGGAGATTCTCTTAAATTGCTTTCGGGTTGACAACGGTTTCTTTCAGCATATTGCCAAACGAAACTTTGAGTACTCATTCTTCCCGGAATTTTTTATAATTAGGTTTCCTAATTTTTCCTTCTTTCTGATTGGTTGATCTAGGCGAAACGGGTATTTTCGAACGGAATGTTTTGAGGTCTTCGTAATACAGTGCGTCCGTAAGGTCATGCGACACTTTTGATCGGTCACAGGAAAGCAACTAAACGAGAGAAATATGTAATCTTCACCAAACAAAGGAAAACTCTCCAAGTGTTTGTAGTATGATGTGCAAGCATGTTCGCACACAGGTTGCGCAACACTGCGAAGCAGCAGATCAGTCCATCCATGCCCACGCCGAGATGTGGACCGTACAGAGGAAAGGTCAGTGTGTTCTGTTGCTTGTCAAATTCGAATCAGTGACCAAAGTTCAACTTGAATATCGTCGTGTGTACAACGAACTGTTACCACATAGGAATAACATTAATCTGTGGGATAAGCAGTTGAAGAATACCGGCAGTTTGTTGGACAAACCTCGTTTTAGCAGGCCATCGGTCAGTGACAAGTCTGTAGAGGCTATATGGAAGAGTTACATAGAAATCCTTACAAACTGCAGCTGTTGCACGCTATCAAATCGACGGATAGACCGAAACGATTCGCGTTTGCTACACATATGCTTCATGAGATCGACAATGATAACCGATTTCTGCAAAAGATTGTGTTTAGCGATATTTCATGTTAGTGGACATGTTCATCGCCATAACATCCGAATATGGGCTGCTGAAAATCCTCATGCCTACGTAGAGTACGAACGTATCACCCCTAAAGTGAACATATAGTGTGGCCTGATGCATGATAAAGTGATAGGACACTTTTCTTTGCGGAGTAGACTGTGACGGCATGGATGGAGCCCACATCGAACTGCATTGAATAGGTATGAAACTTTAAAACGTTTTCTTTTGTTTGGTGAAGATTTCACATTTATATCTTCATTTGTTGCTTTCCTGTGAGCGATCAAAAGTACACCCTGACTTTACGGATGCACTCTGTATTACGACTGGATGACTGCTTCAATTTAGTCCGGCGAATGCGTTTCACGGCGGTAAATGTTGTACCAGCCTCAGAAATATTTCTCACGGCGATTTACAATCCTTCAAAATACCAATATCTGTTTATTCAAACCTTCAGCTAGGTTCTAAATGGTTAGAAGACATAGTTCCTGCTGGCGAATGCTTTGCTGATTAAACCGTAACCTCACTGACTGCCCTAACTCCGACTTCTTTAGATCTGGAAACATCGGTCAGAAAAACGTTCAATTTCTGTACTCTCATTCTACATATTTTTCATTTACGATACCTCTTCTTTTCTGCATTTCCTTCTTTGAAGTATTTTTGCTCTGAAACTAGTATTTGCTCATACTTACCCTAAAAGCCATTTCCGGAGAGAAATCCTGCTGACTATTAAAAGTAATAATGCTTTCTATATTAATATTATTCTGGCCTAAGATTTAACGGATGCAACTGGCCTAGGATTTCACGTAATCTTCCTCACTTATGATTGCAGTTCGGTATACAGCTTTGCAAACTAATTTCCCTGAGTGAAACACTTAAGTACTATATTCATTATAATATTCGTTTTTGCGGCTGCGTTCACTCCCTCCGTTCGCATCTCTGCCTTCAGTTGAGTGGAGCTATAATGGATAGTATCAAGTAGAAGGTCTTGAACTTCAATGTTTTCTTTAACTATGTCTACATAAGTAAAACGTAATCACAGGTAAATACATAGTGTCCTATGTATCATAATATATAATGCAATATGTAATGTAATCGTAATAGTGTCATATGTATCATAATATGTAATGTAGTATGTACTGATTGATAAGCAACATAACACACAATGCAAAGCCCAACTGAAACAATGTGAATGCAAACTGTATAATAGTATTATGCATAGCGATGTAGGCATTGTATCGAGTAACAGGTACAATTGGCATAGTGCTGATGACAATTTAATATGCATCCAGGCTCAGTAGGATGTAGGACAACCGCGGACAGCGATGCACGAAGAAACGCGTCTAGGCATAGAGTCAAAAAGAGTGCGGATGGTGTCCTTAGGATGGCTCTCCATTCCCTTTCAACCATTTGCCACAGTTCGTCGTCTGAACGAGGCAGGGGCAGAGTCTGCAAACGGCGTCCAATCATATCCCACACATGTTCGATTGGTGACAGGTCAGGAGAGTACGGTGGCCAGGGAAGGATATGTATACCTTGCAGAGCATGTTGGCAGATGCAAGCACTGTGTGGTCGGGCATTATCCTGCTGAAGGTAGGGGATTGCCACCGCCGCAG